CAGTTTTCACTTGACCTCGACCTCATTTCATGGATCAGTGAACAAGGTTAAGTTTTGGTGGTCAAGTCCATATCTCAGACACTATAAGCAATAGGTCTAGTATATTCGGTGTATGGAAGGACTGTAAGGTGTACATGTCCAACTGGCAGGTGTCATCTGACCTTGACCTCATTTTCATGGTTCAGTGGTTATAGTTAAGTTTTTGTGTTTTAGTCTGTTTTTCTTATACTGTATGCCATAGGTCTACTATATTTGGTGTATGGAATGATTGTAAGGTGTACATGTCTAGCAGGCAGGTGTCATCTGACCTTGACCTCATTTTCATGGTTCAGTGGTCAAAGTTAAGTTTTTGAGTTTTGGTCTTTTTTTCTTATACTATATGCAATAGTTCAACTATATTTGGTATGTGCGTACCTTGCAAGGGCCTCATGCCCGTCACACAGTTTTCACTTGACCTCGACCTCATTTCATGGATCAATGAACAAGGTTAAGTTTTGGTGGTCAAGTCCATATCTCAGATACTATAAGCAATAGGTCTAGTATATTCGGTGTATGGAAGGACTGTAAGGTGTACATGTCCAACTGGCAGGTGTCATCTGACCTTGACCTCATTTTCATGGTTCAGTGGTTATAGTTAAGTTTTTGTGTTTTAGTCTGTTTTTCTTATACAGTATGCCATAGGTCTACTATATTTGGTGTATGGAATGATTGTAAGGTGTACATGTCTAGCGGGCAGGTGTCATCTGACCTTGACCTCATTTTCATGGTTCAGTGGTCAAAGTTAAGTTTTTGAGTTTTGGTCTTTTTTTCTAATACTATATGCAATAGTTCAACTATATTTGGTATGTGCGTACCTTGCAAGGTCCTCATGCCCGTCACACAGTTTTCACTTGATCTCGACCTCATTTCATGGATCAATGAACAAGGTTAAGTTTTGGTGGTCAAGTCCATATCTCAGATACTATAAGCAATAGGTCTAGTATATTCGGTGTATGGAAGGACTGTAAGGTGTACATGTTCAACTGGCAGGTGTCATCTGACCTTGACCTCATTTTCATGGTTCAGTGGTTATAGTTAAGTTTTTGTGTTTTGGTCTGTTTTTCTTATACTGTATGCCATAGGTCTACTATATTTGGTGTATGGAATGATTGTAAGGTGTACATGTCTAGCGGGCAGGTGTCTTCTGACCTTGACCTCATTTTCATGGTTCAGTGGTCAAAGTTAAGTTTTTGAGTTTTGGTCTTTTTTTCTTATACTATATGCAATAGGTCATCTATATTTGGTGTATGGAAATATTTTATGATGTACCTGTCAGTCTTGCAGGTTTTATTTGACCTTGACCTCATTTTCACGGTTCATTGCTCAGTGTTAAGTTTTTGTGTTTTGGTCTGTTTTTCTAATACTATAAGCAATAGGTCAACTATATTTGTTGTATGGAAGGATTGCAAGCTGTAGTACATGTCTGCCTGGCATTGTTCATCTGACCTTGACCTCATTTTTTTGGTTCATTGGTCAATGTTTAGTTTTCTTGGTTAAGTCTGTATCTTAGAAACTATAAACAATAGGTCAACTATATTTAGTGTATTGAATGATTGTAAGGTGTACATGTATTTCTTGTTTGGTTTATATGACCTTGACCTCATTTTCTTGGATCATGTTAAGTGTATGTGATAGTTGTAGTAAAGCTTTATATTTAGGACTATCAACATAATATCAATGATTAGTAAAGAAGGCGAGACATTTCAGTGTGTGCACTCTTGTCTAAATAAAATAACAACTAAACTACTATTTCAAGAAATAGAAATTATTATTATTACTATAAATTACTACAAAGAATGAAAGTACAATATATTTAACGGTTTTCTGTGATTTTCGTGCGTGAAGTATTTACCTATTAAGTTTCTGTAAAGATGAGTTCAAATTCGTTTTGCTATTCGGAAAATCCCCTTTTTATAATACTTATCACGCCTTATCCTTGCGCGTAAGAAAATAGGTCGCTACTGGTCAAGGTTAATCATATAAATCACTGTCAATACATACGTAAATATTGGATTATAAAGAAAGCAATCACGATTTCATACGTCTCGACACCGATTTATCAATATAAAGCATATAAATACAAGTAACTAAAGAAATGTAGGATTAATAACAAGTTAGAAAACAAAGATGTTATTCGAATGCCACATGTTGGCGGAATTTCGTAACGCTAAATCGGCAACTGCCAATTTTGCCGGGAACGACGTTACGTTAACACAAATGTAAAACCGCGTTATTGAATGTTTACAACAGTAACAAACAAAAAATAGAACAACTAACTCTGGGTGGACCGGTATCATGTATTGATCGCAATTCACGTACTTTCAATATCAATTTCTCAGTACAGGGGGTATTGTACATTGCTTTTGCCGAGATTTTTATACGACCGCAAAAATTAAAAATTTTTTGGTCGTATATTGGTATGACGTTGGCGTCGTCGTTGTCATCGTCGTCGTCCGAAGACACATTGGTTTTCGCACTCTAACTTTAGTTTAAGTGAATGGATCTCCATGAAATTTTACCATAAGGTTCAATACCACGAAAGGAAGGTTGGGATTGATTTTGGGGGTTATGGTACCAACAGTTAAGGAATTAGGGGCCAAAAAGGGGCCAAAAATAAGCATTTTTGTAACTTTCAGACAATAACTTGTGTGTAAGTGTATGGATCTCTCTGACATTGTACCACAAGGTTCCATATCATAAAGGGAAGGCTGTAATTGATTTTGGGGGTAATTGCCTCAAAATTTTAGGAATTAGGGGCCAAAAAAGGGGCAAAAAACAAGCATTTTTCTAGTTTCATGACAATAACTTGTGTGTAAGTGTTTGGATATTTCTGAAATTGTACTACAAGGTTTCATATCACAAAGGGAAAGCTGGAATTGAGTTTGGGGGTAATTGCCTGAAACGTTTAGGAATTGGGGCCAAAAAGGGGCCAAAAATAAGCATTTTTCTAGTTTCAAGACAATAACTTGTGTTCAAGTGTATGGATCTCTCTGAAATTGTACTGTAAGGTACCATACCACAAAGGGAAGGCTGGGATTGAGTTTGGGGGTGATGAATCATAAGGGGGTTCAAAAAATTTGGGGGGGGGGGATTTTTTTTTTTTCTTTTTTTTTCTTTTTTTCCTTTTTTTTTTTTCTTTTAAAATTTTCCATTTTAAGTTGGTTATTTCTGATTTATATTTAAAAGCAAATAATAATGATATGGTAGGAGATACACACCAAACAGGATGTGTAAATTTTTATATAAGTATTGTGCAATAGCAAGAAATTTTCAATTGCACAGTATTGCACAATAGCAAGAAATCTTCAATTGCACAGTATTGCGCAATAGCAAGAAATCTTCAATTGCACAGTATTGCGCAATAGCAAGAAATATCCATTAGCACAATATTGCGCAATAGCAAGAAATTGTCAATTGTACAGTATTGCGCAATAGCAAGAAATATTCAATTGCACAGTATTGTGCAAAAGAAGATACTTCTTATAAATTGCTTATTTCTTGATCAATTTCAATGGGGTTTTATTCTTGAATTCTTGGGGTTCTTTAATATGCTGAATATAACCGTGTATTAAGTTTTTAAATTGGTCCGCATTGAGGTCCAAAGGGTCCAAAATTTAACTTTGTTTGATTTCATCAAAAATTTAATTATTGGGGTTCTTTGATATGCCGAATCTTACCGTGTATTTAGATTCTTAATTTTTGGTTCCGTTTTCAAATTGGTCTACATTAAGGTCCAAAGGGTCCAAAATTAAACTTAGTTTGATTTTAACAAAAATTGAATTTTTAGTGTTCTTTGATATGCTGAATCTAAACATGTATTTAGAATTTTGATTATGGGCCCAGTTTTCAAGTTCGTCCAAATCGGGGTCCAAAATTAAACTTTGTTTGATTTCAACAAAAATTGAATATATGGGGTTCTTTGATATGCTGAATCTAACCATGTATTTAGATATTTGATTTTTGGGCCCCGTTATCAACTTTGTCCACATTGAGGTCAAAAGGGTCCAAAATTAAACTTTGTTCTTAGACCACATTCATTCTGTGTCAGAAACCTATGCTGTGTCAAATATTTAATCACAATCCAAATTCAGAGCTGTATCAAGCTTGAATGTTGTGTCCATACTTGCCTCAACTGTTCAGGGTTCGACCTCTGCGGTCGTATCAAGCTGTGCCCTGCGTAGCATTTTATTAATTAATGGTACTTGGGTGTATGATGTAATGATCGATATTGACCTGTGTTGTCGGACAGCTGTTAATTTGAGCTTGAAACCATGCACAACTTATTTCTAAACATTTTAGTACGGCCACCATAGGAACTTTGTCAGTTTCAAAACGAAAAACGGTAGATGAAGGGGGTAATGAGGCTGAAAATTTATCCCAAAAATTCCAAATACAACCAGGAAAAGCGGAAAAAAACATTTATAGCGTCATGGATAGAAAGATTCCCCATGGGCAAGATCGACTGTTACTGATGATAAACAAGAGATGATGTTTTGTGAATATTGCCGTTATTTTCCTGATCACGCTGATAAAAAGTCTGCTTTGTATGTGGGAACAACAAATATACGAATTGAACCACTGGTTTCACATGACAAGATCAATGAACATGTTTTCTGTGCCCGAAAATATTTAACAACCCATAGTACAAGGGATATCCAAAAAGATGTCTAGAAATCCTTGTTATAATTAATAAAACAAAAATTTATTTGATTTATTTTATCAAATACCGTGTATAATGCCGCATTCAAAACAAGGGACACCCACTCTAAATTTGTACGGTATACTCGGGCTAGCAGGTCAGTTTTGATGGGCTAGCAGCTCTTTCAACAGGGCTAGTAAAATCCTGCTACCATTAAGTCCTGGGCTAGTGAGCTGTAACAAATTTTTTTAACCCCTGTTTTTACAAAGTTACAAAGTGATACAAACATTGGCCTTTTTCTAATTGATTAACTTTTTTCCAGTCTTGGTGACTACATCGACAAGATAGTTACAAACAAAAGCCTTGTTGAGATGTACAAAAAAGAAGGATATCCAACTGAGGGTAAATATTGATACTGATCTAAATCTTTACCATAAGATGCCAAAATATTAAACTTATTTTTTCAACTTGTGTTAGTTTCATTTTATATCTTATAGCTGTTGATTACAAGATAACTGAAAATTCTGTAAACCTATAAATCTGTGGTTGGCTTGAATAGATGTGAATTTCAACAGTTCATTTTGAATTGGTATAGACCATTTGGTAAAGATTTAGGGTTTAAAATGATTCTGTTTCTAATATCATGGCTGAATTTGCTTAATGGTGAAGATTTGTTGATTGCTAACGACCATTATTTGATGTCAAAAAAAGTAGCTCACTGAAAGCTGGATAAAAAGTTGTGGTCTGATATTTGACTTATAAAAGAAAATCAAAATGATGGATATTGATGAATTACGGATATTCCCACTGCCTTCATATGTTATATTTATATATAAATCAAAATAATTGTTTCCTCTTTTATTTTAGGATCAGAAAAAGACATACATTTCTATTCTAAATCAGAAGAGTAAGTACCACATCTACTTGATTATATTTGTGAGGAAAGGATTTATTTTACATTTTGTAGAAGCCTGATTTTTTGGTACAGTTGTGTATAGCCATGACTTACAAACGATTATAGTCTTTTCTACAAGTTGACTAACTAGACTGTTTCATTTTATACCAAAACATCTTGTTGTCTTCAATAGATCAAAGCAGTATTCAGTATTCAATGTATTTTAGCAACTTGAGATCAGATTTATGCAATAAAAAGGAATGTCAAAATAGATATGCAAATGTCAGCATGCTCAGTATTCAAAGTTTTTTAGCAACTAAACTTGGTTCATGCAATTAAATGGAATGTCAAATGCACAATCTAGTTAGTAATGAATTAAGAAATGGAAGTTGTCTATTTTTAAGTCATTCATACTGTGTTGTATTATATAAAATAGATTGATGAAATTGACATAATATTTTGATTTTCTGTTTAGTTCTACAGACGCATGTCCAGATGGACGTAATACAATAATCTCCCTGAAATGTGATCAGAAGATGGAAGAGGATGGAGAAATAGTTTTCCCACCAAAATGTGTGTATGGAACATGTGATGGTTGTAACTTCCATCTCCTGTGGAAAACTGTGTACGCTTGCCCCAAATGTGCCAAGGAAGACTTTGTTAAAATTGTAGGAGAATGTGTGGATGGATCACAGAATATTCATTATACTAAACCAGAGTAAATATCTGTGTTATAGATACTGTTTACATGTTAAACAATTTTTTAACAACTATGAATATAAGTAAATGTGGGGTCAATGAGCCAGCAACCCAATACTGCTAATAATTAAAAGACATCTAGAGGGCTACATACAAGCTTCAACAATAGACATGTGTCTATATATAATATGTATAGAATTGAACTCCATTAAAATCTTTTCCAAATACAGTCAAACCTGTATTAAGAGACCACTCAAGGGAGAAGGCAAAAGCGGTATCTTAATACAGGTGGTCTATCAATACAGGTTCCACAATTTGAATAGAAGGAAGCATCTATGTGCATTATAACTTTCGAACGTACTAGTGTAATCAAACAACACCGTATTGGGCTCGTATGTATTTCCAGTATGACTAATTATGAAAACTGTTCATTATGTAATTAAATTTTTCCTTGCCTTTTTATACGGCCGTCAAATTTTTGACGGGACATATTATGGTATACAAATGTCCGGCGTCCGTCCGTCTGTCTGTCTGTCCGTCTGCCTGTCCGGCGTAAACATGTCGCACCTTAACTTGAGAATGACTTATCCAAATTTCATGAAACTTAACATAGTTGTTTCTTATGATGGTCAAACGATCTGTATACTTTTTGGTGAAAATAAGATTAAAACTTTTTGAGTTACTGGACTTAGTAACTAAAACAGGTGTGTGTTTTTTTATACGCCCGTTTACGGGACGTATTATGGTATACCGTTGTCCGTTCGTCCGTCCGTCTGTCCGTCGTCAACATGTCGGACATTAACTCAAAAATGCTTTAACCAATTTGCATAAAACTTTGGTGAATTGTTTATATCTATTGACGTGAGCTCCCTTTCGTTTTTTATAAAATTTAGATTTTACGTTTCCGAGTTATGGGGTTTTATTCATTAAAAAAAGGGGGATTTTCCAGTTTTTGGACAATAATTCAAGAATGCTTTCACCAACTTGCAAGAAATTGTGGTGAATTGTTTATATCTATTGACATGAGCTCCCTTTCAATTTTTATAAATTTTAGATTTTACGTTTTCGAGTTACAGGGTTTTATTCATGAAAAAAGGGGGGATTTTCCAGTTTTCGGACAAAAACTCAAAAATGCTTTCAGCAATTCTTATGAAACATTGGTGAATTGTTTGTATGTATTGATGTAAGCTCCCTTTAGAATTTTATAAATTTTACATTTTACATTTCTGAGTTATGGGGTTTTATTCATTAAAAAAGGGGTGATTTTCCAGTTTTCGGACAATAACTCAAAAATGCTGTCACCAATTCTCATGAAACTTTGGTGAATTGTTTATATCTATTGATGTAAGCTCCCTTTTTATTTTCATAAATTTCTAATATGACATTGAGAATTAATTGAACTTTATTTGTTTATAGTCTGACAACAGATTTACTAAGTATTGCACAACAGCAAGAAATCTTTAATTGAATATAAATTCAATTCATATAACCAATTTCAAGATCTTTGACTACATTTATTCAGAAACCTATAATATGTCAAATATTTAATTACAATCCAAGTTCGGACCTGAATCAAGCTTGAATATTGTGTCCATTTTTGCCCCAACTGTTCAGGGTTGGACCTCTGCGGGCGTATCTAGCTGCGCTCAGCGAAGCAGTTTATTTCACATGTCGCGCCGTATCTCAAAAACAGTTTATGATTATTGCTAAAAACTTTACACACTTCTTAGTTATATTAACCTTAAGATCTGTATACTTTTTGGTGATGATTCAAAATTTTATTTTTGAATTATTGAGTATTTTGTAAAAAAAGGGGAAGGGGTTTATCACATGTCGCGCCGTATCTCAAAAACGATTTATGATTATTGCTTAAAATTTTACACACTTCTTAGTTATATTAATCTAAAGATCTGTATACTTTTTGGTTTTGATTCAAAATTTTATTTTAGAGATATTGAGTTTTTTGTAAAAAAAAAAAGGGGGTTTTCGCATGTCACGCCGTATGTCAGAAACTATTTATGCTTATTGCATAAAAATTCACACACAAGATGATGGGCGTATCATGCGCTCATGGCGCAGCTGTTTATTGTATGTTCTTTTAGTTTGTTCATACATCACAAGACCGGGTTCTTGTTATATTATGTCCAATCTAATTCCTGTGAAAATACCCCAGGGTGCAGAGCCCTCACATGTTCTTCAAGATTTTATATAAATTGCCTCATTATGCAAGGACTTTCAAATACGTTTAACACAAATTTATTTTTCTAGCCATGCTAATTATTTTGTGTAATCATCAACTTTATCATCATCGTATTTGGCAATTTTTGTCACAATCATATAACTGCCAATAACTCCTTTTGAATAACCAATTTCACTCCAACCACGAGTTGAACTTTAAAGTAATAAGCAATAAGCAATCTTTGGCTTGGTAATAGAAGTCCTGATTGTTGAACTTTGTGGTAATCAATCGTCTAAACTCAGTTGATTCCGTTCTAGTGGATTCACTCAAGGTTTGCAGATTGTTAGAATGTCAGCAATCGGCAATCCTCAAGTGAATCCGCTACTCTCGCAACGGAATCGGCCGAGTTTAAACAAGAGGAAAGTCAACATTGATCATCAAAATGGCGGTACGATTACACTTTTTCGAAAGTCGCTGATCCTTCCAAGTTAATTGTGGTCGTTTAAGACAGTGCATGTGGGCTTTTAAAACAAATTAATGTGGTGACTGGTCGCGTTAAGCAGGTGGTTGCTTAATACAGTTAAAATATATAGGGAAATCTATTGGGGGACTTGAAAAGTGGTCGTTAATAGCAGGTGGTCGTTAAGGCAGGTTTTACTGTATGTAGGTATCAAAATCAGTAATAGTATTACTTTGGTGAAAATTGTTAGGGAGAGTTGTCTCATTGGCAATGTTAGCATATCTCCTTATTTAATATTGATTGAGCATGTTGAGGTATCTTAACTGTAGATTTAGTCCCAGTACATTGGCTTAATTTACCGTATAGCGGGTTATTTTCGCGGGTGTAAAATTTCGCGATTTACGGGCAACAAAGTATACGAAAAATTTTGGCGGATTCTTTAATCCCAATTAAATATTTTAGCGGATACTGAAATGGTTGCAGTTACAAAGTTGTAAAAATTGACAAACAAGGGCATTTTATTATGGTTAAATGATTGTTTTACCTGCATGACGTCTTATTTATTGATTATATTTTGATACTGTCAATCAATAGAATACCGGTACATAGTTATTTGTTACAGGTGTACAAACTTCTTGTAAATGTTACGGTTGATAAGTTACTAAATTGAACAGACCTTTGATGTACTAATTATATTATAAAACTATCATGAGTGACTTGCAACTCTTATATGATTTGACACTAATTGATAAGAATAAAATACCTGACAGCATACCTTACACTCTTATATTATTATTAAGTTTATTATGTAACCAATAAACTAATTAACACATAACAGTCAGTGACCAATAACCTTTGGCATTTATGTTGTTTAAATTAACATAAACCGTTATTGATCCGTCGAACGGGAAAAAAAAGATAGTTTACAAAACGTTTTAGCTATTAGAAAGTATCGAAGGTATGCATAAATTTTTGCGGAATTTATTTTCACGATTTCCCCTGACCCGCCAAAATAAGCAAAAATAACCCGCTATACGGTATTTCAGCACATTTTCAAATGGTTTCTATTTTGTTGTTTCTGAAATAACACCACTGAAAATACTATGTGAAATAACATATGTATTTAGAATACAATAAGTACATTGAACACCAACTTTCTTAATTGTCTGTTGTACATTTTCTTTTGTTTTTTGAAGTCACTGTATAGGAGAGCCACCAGCAATTGAAACCCAGAAATGTGCAATTAAACTTCCATTTATTGTAAGTACAATTACTCATTTAACAATAACAGTTCTTATTTGTTGTCATTTCTCATTATTTGTTTCTATATATCAAAGTTGAATGAACTAACTAAGGTTAAGAAGAAACACTGTTTTATTATTATTATGTTATTTTGAAGAAAGTTGAAATTTACAAAAAATAAAACGCCCAAGATAGTTTTCACATAAGCCTCGGGCACACAACCCAGGCTTGTAAAATTTCTTCCTCAGGCCAATAGAATCTGTTAAAAAAATGTCTTAAAAAGTAGCATCAGGATTGTGACTGTAAAAGTTTATTGTGAAGACTGCTAAAACATTTAGAAATAAATTTATATTCTAAAACATTTAGAAATAAATTTATATAAATCATTTGAACAGAATCACTACATTTTAATAATAAAGACATTGACTTGATATAAAGCAGTGTTTTAGAATTTATTTTTAAAAAGAATTTTACATTTAAGTGGTTTATGTAACTAATGAAAAGAAAAAGGAAACTCTTTTTAATAAACAGAAATCTTGTATGCAAACATGACAAAGGAAAAATTACTGCATTCATCAGATTTATTAAAGACTTGAGGAACAAAAAAATTTTGAATAAGATTTATTTTGTTGTACTTTTTTTTCAGGTAAAAGTAGTAGTACCACCAGTTGTTGCCCTTGGACTTATTTTACTGATATGTGTCATATACTGTTGGCAGAGAAATAAAAAGTAAGTTGTTTTTAGCTCACCTGGCCCTAAGGGCCAAGTGAGCTTTTCTCATCACTTGGCGTCCATCATCCGTAAACTTTTACAAAAATCTTCTCCTCTGAAACCACTGGGCAAAATTTAACCAAACTTGCCCACAATCATCATTAGGGTATCTAGTTTAAAAAATGTGTCCAATGATCCCGCCAACCAACCAAGATGGCTGCCATGGCTAAAAATAGAACATTTGGGGTAAAATGTAGGTTTTGGCTTATATCTCTGAAACCAAAGCATTTAGAGTAAATCTGACATGGGGTAAAACTGATTATCAGGTCAAGATCTATCTGCCCTGAAATTTTCAGACAAATCTGACAACCTGTTATTGGGTTGCTGCCCCTGAATTGGTAATTTTAAGGAAATTTTGCAGTTTTTAGTTATTATCTTGAATATTATTATAGATAGAGATAAACTGTAAACAGCAATACTGTTCAGCAAAGTAAGATCTACAAATGAGTCATCATGACCAAAATTGTCAGTCGACCGCTTTAGGAGTTATTGCCCTTTATAGTCAATTTTTAACAATTTTTTGTAAATTTTTGTAATCTTTTACAAAAATCTTCTTCTCTGAAACTACTGAGACAAATTTAACCATACTTGGCCATAATCATTATTAGGGTTTCTAGTTTAAAAAATTCGTCTGATGACCCCGCCTTCCAACCATCATGGCCGACTTGGTTAAAAATAGAACACAGGGGTAAAATGCAGTTTTTGGTTTACATCTCTGAAACTAAAGCATTTAGAGCAAATCTGACAGGTGCCAAAATGTTCATCAGATTTAGATTTATCTGCCACAAAATTTTCAGATGAATCCGACAACCCATTGTTGGGTTGCTGCCCCTGAGTTAGTAACTTTACTAAAAATTTGCAGTTTTTTGTTATTAAAGGCAGTGCTTTAATGCCTTTCTAGTTGCCGGGTTAATCCTTCCTTCCGCGATATCCAACTTATCTACGTGGGGGGTCATTAGACTCCAAGTAGATCCGGAAATGTTGAATTCTCTCCTCTTCTTATTGCGATATAAAATGTTTTTTGTTCCATTTCATTTACATTGGGAAATAGAGAAACGATCATTGTGTTTTGTTAGTTTTAAAAACTTTTGATATATTAGTATTTTGCATTATAAGCAGTCAACCGATTGACAAACTAGAATTATTTGAATTCCGTGTGGAAAGAGCTCGGGTTAATTTCGAGTGTTATCTGCAATCTAGATGTTTATAAATCATTTCAGTCGTTGATATAATAATTAAAGGTCGACTGAACATGAATTATATTATACAATTTAAAGCGCATTTCTGTTTATGCACGATAACCCGTATAACGTTATTTTCGCAGTTATATAAAGTAGCAAATTATCGTTCCTGAATAGGTGGCGCCGTGGTAGCGGATCCTGTTCCTCTTCTTCCGGTTTCTACACTGTGCAACTATTTCAGTTATATTTTTAATTAACGATGCCAAATACTTGTTGTTGTGTACCTGGATGTCATTTAAGAGGAGGACATGCATTTCCAAATGACTTAAAAAGAAGGAAAAGTTGGATCAACGCCATGGCCCATACGCAGATTGGACGAGAACACGATGATATCGTGGAGTCCATCTCAATCAGCTGTTGTTTGCAAGGCACGTTTTACTGAAAAAGACTACGTGCAGGAAACTATTCATGGTAAAACTCTATTTTCTTTGTGAAATATATAGTTATATATGTAATCGCCATGCGAATAAACCCAAAGTCTGTTTACAACCGCAATTATCGTTTTAGAATAAAAGGGGGTGGGTAATTCAAGACGTCATAATTTTTTGGATTACGATTCAATGTGATCTGTTTGAGATTTTTTGGTGATTGCTACAATTATAATGATTTCTTACAAGAGGTATATCATACTGAGAATTATTTTAGCAGTAATTATGCTAATGTAGTAATGACAGGAATGCATAAGCTATATGCCTCATAGACTTTCTTGAAAAATATCAATGACAATGTTAACAGGAACAAAACAATGACATGCTCTCATCTATATTATAGTTATTTAGGTACAAACAATGTACGTTTGTTGCATAAGTCTCTCATTGTTTGTCCTTTTGATTTACATAACATACATTGAATCAGGCAAACATAGTTTTATCCAGATTGTAATGAATAAATCTAGTTAATATTTCGCCAGGTAGTACAAAGTATACATTGCTAATGGAAGTTCATTTAATTATAAAAAACTAATGTTTTATAACCTTTTTCAGGGCGCAAACCCACCATACAGAGACTTAAGTCTACTGCAATTCCCAGCCTATTTTCCTGGACCAAGCAAGAGACTGAATCGTCCGCAAAAAGAAAAATCAGGGCAGTTTCCTGTGAAAACAAAAGAACTAAACTTGATGAATATTGTAGTAGAAATCTAGAGGAAAGTTTTGATTGTAAAGTTTGTTTTCCTGAAGAAGTCATTCATACTGCAGAAAGGATTTATGACTGTCCACCACCAACTGCCGAGCTAATGTTGAGCTTCACAGATGGAATATAATTAATTATGCAAACACCATCAATGCCTATGTTTTCAGCAGAGAATTTTGAAATGAAGACACGTGACACAGCCATGCATTTTTATACCGGTTTAGAGTTGTATACTAAATTTTTATTTGTTTTGACCACACTTGGTCCAGCAGTACATTGTTTGAGATACATATATTTTCAAATTGATAGGGTGTCAGTTGAAAATCAGTTTTTTTATGACTTTGGTGAAATTGAGGCATCATACAACCAACTTTGAACTGTCTATATTCTAGATTGAATCTAGTGTTAAGAATATTGTGTATACATGGATTGTTTTTATGTCTAAACAGTGGTGTGAGGCTAACACTTGGCCATCTAGTGGTTTAGTCAGGTATTTTTCACCATCCAACTTCAAATTAAAGTTTCCTACGACTTGGATTATTATTGACAGCACAGAATATCCCGTGATAAAACCTAAAGCTCCTAGAGCTCAGGCAACCTTTTCATCAAATAAAAACAGAAACACTGAAAATTCTTGAATGTTCGACACCTGGTGGTTTAGTCAACTATGTCTCTATGTCACATAGAGCGAATTATTGGACTTGGCAAAACATACAAAATTCTAATAAATCCTATGAATGGAACTGAAACAAAACTTTCATCTGAAATAACATTTAGTTGTTTTATGTTGTTTAATTTTAGAACTTGTATTGTGCCAAAGGATGCATAAATAAAAGTGACGCAATGAATTTTGTTCTGATATATATATATTTACAATTACATGCACATGTAAATTGTAATGCATATAAAAATAAGGAGATGTGGTATGATATTCAGTGAGTTTATCAAACTAAAGTGCATAAGAAATGGGTTTAAGCAGTTACAGGTGTTACTGTCACCGTACAATCTCCAACAATGAGAAAAACTCGTACCGTGTAAAAAATTTCAGAGATCTTACAACTAAGTTTTGTTGTCTCACCTTGACTTTGGTGAATTTTTTATATCTGTTGATGTAAATATAAAAAAGAAGATGTGGTATGATTGCCAATGAGACAACTCTCCACACATGCACAAGAGACCAAATGACACAGAAATTAACAGCTATAGGTCACAGTACGGCCTTCAACAATGAGCAAAGCCCATACGGCACAGTCAGCTATAAAAGGCCCAGAAATGACAATGTAAAACAATTCAAACAAGAAAACTAACGGCCTATTTTATGTAAAAAAATGAACAAATATAACAAATATGCAACACATAAACAAACGACAACCACTGAATTACACTTTTATAGGCTCCTGACTTGGGACAGGCACATACATGTACATACAGAATGTGGTGGGCTTAAACATGTTAGCGGGATCCCAACCCTCCCCCTAACCTGGGACAGTGCTGTAACAGTACAATATAAGAAAGAACTATAAAAATCAGTTGAAAGAGGCTAAACTCATCAGATGGATAAATACAAATACAAGTGGACGTGGTCAGGTAGTTGTACATCCAAACAACAAAAAGACACTAAGTACAAATCTGAGAGTACTCGCAGTTACTGACAGCTAGTTCAAAGCCACTAACAACTGATAAAAAAATCTTGCATCTAAGACTAAATTATCAATCCGTAAGCTCCCTTTAGAATTTTATAAATTTTAGATTTTACATTTCTGAGTTATGGGGTTTTATTCATTAAAAAAGGGGGGATTTTCCAGTTTTTGGACAACAACTCAAAAATGCTTTAAGCAGTTCACATGAAACTTTGGTGAATTATTTATAGCTATTGATGTAATCTCCCTATTGATTTTCATAAATTTCAAATATGACATTGAGAAGAAATTGAACTTTATTTGTTTATAGTCTGGCAACAGATTTATTAAGTATTGCACAACAGCACAGTGTATTGCACAACAGCAGAAATCCATGAATTTGAAAATTTTCTTTTTAAAAGTTTGAAATTATTTTGTCTTAATAATAATCTTGGTTCAAGCCATTTAAAACTTCCTGTTTTTCTGTTCAATTTAATTCCTGTATTATCTATGGTATTGATAAATAAAAATATAGTTTTTAGGACATTTGTCATTTTTGATATAACATGATTATCTATGTTCACTTACTTTACAGTTTAGAGTATAAGTATATGAAGTTAACTCACCAGAATGAACCAACCTATGATGGAGAGTTACCAGGAGTAGATTCTTGTGGTTTGTCTGATGGAGAAGAAGATCAGTTTGATTCTGTACAATTTAAAACGAGCAGAGGCTCAAAAATACTCAATAAAATAAGAGGCAAAAGATCAGATAAGGTTAGTTTTGTATCCATATATGTAATTTGGTTTTTAAGTAGTTGCTGAACTAATTCCTGAATTAGTTACTAAGTCACAATGTTATTTAAAGCCGAGCATATTGTATAACCATCTGTTTTTTGTTGATGTCTTTTGGTTATAAGGCATTGGGTTACTGCCTCAGTGACACATACTCCACGTCTCCTTTTACCTGTAATATATTATTATACATCCACTTTAGGAGTAGGGGCTATATTGCATTCATCTTGTCTGTCCCTCTCTTCATGCGTCTGTCCCATGAAGTTTTGATTGCATTATTCTCAGGAACTAGAAATCAGAGCTTCCTGAAATATGATATTAGGCTTGATGTGAGCATGATATACTGTGTGATGCATTTTCAGATCATCACTCATTAACTTCCTCTTTACCAAGTTCCTATACATTTTTACACATAATGGCCATGTTTAAAATATTGGTTTGCATTTCTCAGGAACTACAAATTTGGTATCAAGCTGCATTTGAGCATTTTATACATTTTATGAGTGATCACTCATCCACTTCCTGTTTACTGAATGCTTATATATTCTTATACATAATGGCCTTGTATAAAATTTGGGTCTCAATTTTCTCAGGAACTACATATCAGAACTTCCTGAAAATTGGTACCAAGCTTTATGTGAGCATGCCTTACTGTGGTGCATTTTCAGATTCATTACTCGTCCACTGTATGTGAACTGAATAATTATATTTGTTGTACACATAATGGCCATGATTGAAATTTTTTCACATTTTCTCAGGAACTATTAATCAAGGCTTTCTGAAATTTATAATCAACTTTCACGTGAGCACACTATACTGTATGATTCTTTTTTGCCGCCATCACTTATCAACTTCTTGTTAACTTGATACTTATAGGGGTGGTATCAATAGTGAGCAATACCTCACAGTTCAACTTGTTTTTAACACTTTTCTAGAGTCCATTAGACCTATTTTCATCAGTAAGTATAGGAGGCATTGGTGAAGGTCTGATGAGGTTAAAGATGCGCATGAGAACAAAATGATATAATTTCCCTGCTTTTAGGACACTTTTCAAATTCTAAGTGAAATTGAGAATTTTTTAATGATTTACTTTGATATATATATATCTTTTTTCCATAATTTTTGCTTCTGTCGTATTAGAAACCTTCATTTACCTCTTTATTTATTTTGATCAGCTTTATCGTCCAGTAAGTACTATCACTTAGTTATTTTTATTTGACTTTTTCTCTGTTGCCTTTAATGATTTTACAAGGAAAAAATATTTAAAACTTGAGGTGTGCAATGAAATATTCTAATATAATCAATGAAAAATAAGAGAATTAAGAAAATGTTATGATTGAAAGTTGTAATTAGACATTTCATATTGGCAATTAGTTATGGAAAAAACACTTTAGAAATCTGTAGTCTTGGTCATCATTATTATTGGCATCTGTAGCGGCATTGAATGAAGTGGTGATATTTGACATGGGGAAAGTGGTTACCTTATTTGCATAATCAACACCAACAGTTTTCAGCCTAGATCCCAGATCCCTTAAAAATTGCACACATATTGAAGTTGTTTAAAGGAATATTACCCTGAATTGCAAGCTTTGGGAACTTATCTTTTTTTTTCAGTACCAATTTTGTGTTATCAACTCCTACAATTTTTAACCACGATCCTTGAAACTTCACAGAACGGTTGCAAACCTGTTGAAGTTGTGTTCTTGCTGTTAAGGAATTGAGGGGCATTAAGTGTTACCCCTGTCCGTCCCTGTCCCGTCCGTCCGGGGCATCTGTGGCCCATAGACACATTCTCCATTTTTTTTTTTTTTTTTTTTTAATTTTCCTTAACTTCTTGTACCATAACTTAAGTTGAATGGATCAATTTACTGGAAACTTTACATAACTATTGGAATTGGTGAAAGGAAGAGCCCTTTTGATTTTGAAAATTTCTGATTTGTCATTCCAGAGATATAGGTCTTAACCATCAGATTAAGGCAACTTTTGACATGTCTAGCGTGCTTGTATCAAATTACTACACTCTTTTATTGTTGTTGGAATTGGTAAATGTCTTTTGATTTTGAAAATTTTCTGGCTTGTCGTTCCAAAGTTATTGGACGTTTAACAGTCATATTTATGACTGTTTTGTATAGAGCCATTTTTCTAACTTCTGACTAGATGCTTTCTTAATACATGTAATCCATTTTATTCTCGCAACAATTTCAATATACACAAGACACGCATATTACTCTTGGCACAGCTGTTAATTTACAGTTAATATTTCGATGTATTTAAATGTTAATTATAGACCATTCTGACATGTTTAAGAATCATTCTATGAAACCCAGCCATTTGTGTGTATGATCCATTTTTAAGAAGTTAATGGTCTGAAACTTAAATAAAATTGAAGTCATGTGAAGAGAACACATGTTTGATAGCCTTGTAGTACCATACCTGCCAACTTCCACGATTTAAGGGTGAACTACAAACTTTGATGCTTTTTGTAAACATAGGTTACATATAAAAGACAGACTCAAAAGAAACCATTGTTATCTTGCACTTGTTCTTTAGGCATGGGGAACTGAAATATTTTCAAATTTTCAAAAGCACTTTTATAAAAAAAAAAAAAAAAAAAAGGATAATAGTTCATTTCACTCAAATGGTAACTCCAGACATTTTATGACCATGGCACATAAATCCTGCATATCTTTAGTGTTCATTTCACTTTGATTTTTTGTTAATGTATTTGGATATATATCCTAGTTCCATTTTTTGTTCAGTTTTGTTGATTGTAATCTCCCCATCAGGAGTTATTCATATTTTCTACATTAGTTTTGAAAATGTAAGACACACTAAAGGTATTAGGAACAGGAAAAAGACTGATTCAGGAAGTTTAAATGTAAATTTAAGAATCTGATACTCAGTTCAAGATAAATTCTCTCTTCAAGGTGGAGATTCTATATATCAGACTGATTGTTTGATTCCTTAATGTCCAGTGGCAAATATTTCATCCATATTCAGGACTGATACTTGTACAGTCAAAGAATTATCACATTATGCCCCCGCTATAGTGGAGGGGGCATTAAGTTTTACCCTTGTCCGTCTGTACGTACGTCCATACGTTCCAAAATTGGTTTCCGTTCTCTAACTTTAGTTTGCCTCAACCAAATATTATGAAACTTATACACGATGCTCATAACCACAAAACACAGATCCAGTCTGATTTTTGGTGGCGTCACTTTTACCGTTCTAGAGTTATGCCCCTTTACAAATGGAAAAATTGCTTAATTTTTTGTTTCTGTTCTCTAACTTTAGTTTGCCTCAACCAAATGTTATGAAACTTATACAAAATGCTAAGTACAACAAAACACAGATCAAGTTTGAATTTTGGTGGTGTCACTTTTATTGTTCTAGAGTTATGCCCCTTTACAAATGGTAAAATTGCTGAAATATTCGTTTCTGTTCTCTTACTTTAGTTTGCCTCAGCCAAATGTTATGAAACTTATGCACAATGCTAATTACCACAAAACACAGATCAAGTTTGAATTTTGGTGGTGTCACTTTTACCGTTCTAGAGTTATGCCCTTTACAAATAGAAAAATTGCTGAATTTTTCGTTTCGGTTCTCTAACTTAAGTTTGCCTCAACTAAATGTTATGAAACTTATGCACAATGCTAATTACCACAAAACACAGATCAAGTTCGAATTTTGGTGGTGTCACTTTTACCGTTCTAGAGTTATGCCCTTTACAAATGGAAAAATTGCTGAATTTTTTGTTTCGGTTCTCTAACTTAAGTTTGCCTCAACTAAATGTTATGAAATGTATACACAATGCTTATTACCACAAAACTCAGATCAAGTACAACTTTGGGTAGCGTCACTTTTACAGTTCTTGAGTTTTGTCCCTTTATAACGTTATATGCAAGCGGAGGCATCATCTGTGTACCATGGACACATTCCCCATTTATTTTTGTTATGTTTTGATGTGCTTTTCTTGATGAACCTTTATTTGAAATGCTCAAAGTCAAGTGTAGACCAAAGAATTTAAAAAGAATAGCAAAAACTAGTGAATATTGCTTCATGAGAGATCATGGAAATCTTACTTGAGGATGTCTCAGATTCTTACCTTTAACTTTCAAAATATTGGATGATTTTTGTCTCACCTTGACAGAGTCAAAAAGCGAGACATAGGTATTCTGTTTCCGGCTGTGGCATCGTCAACAATGTATTAGTTTGTGATTAGGTCTAGTTTATGGGGAGCCACTAGTAGTAGGTCAATGATATTTGGTATGCAGTTGTATAAGCATTGGCATATCTCATTTCCATGGAGAATATTTGGCCCCGCCTTCTCAGTCATGATTTATCGACTTTGAAACCTTTGCTTAGTTTACATGTATTAGTTTGTGATTAGATCAGTTTAAGATGAACTGCTAATGTTAAGTCAATGATATTTGGTATGCAAATTTATTTTCCATTTCCAAGTATCATTTCCATGGAGATTATATAGCCCCACCCCCTCTTCATGGTTCATTGACTTTGAAACTTTTACATAGTTTACAAGTTAATGTTTGTGTTTAGGTTTGTTTAAAGGGAATGACTTATAATAAGTCAATGGTATTTGGTATGCAGTTGTATTAGAATTGGCACAACTCATTTCCATGGAGATTGTTAAGCCATGTACCTCAGTCGACTTTGAATATTTGCATAACTTACATGCTAAAGTGTTGCTATTTTCATTTCAACATTTGCATAGTCAAAATTACAAAAAGGCGAGACATATCTCTGTGATTACAGTTTATTTACAACAAATTTGGTTCCTAAACACAAACAAATTTTCAAAAACAAGATTTTGTATACTTAAGGTCACACGACTACAAAACATAAGGTTTATTATTATGAACTTTTGATGGTTGAACATAATTGGCAGGTCATAACTTTATTATAGATGTAAAAATGAAGCATTTCAATTTTTTAATTGAAATGGGAAAAATTAAATCAAAATTGACTTCTTTTCTTCTCAGTCCAATGTTTCATGTATCGTCTTTAACCATTACCTTGCATGGCAAGAAAATAGAAGTTTGCTTATACATAGCAAGAGATAGAAATGCTGTTTTAAATATGGCATGAAAAATAATGTTGTTTATTCTTAAATAATAATTATTGCAGGATGACGAGAATCCATTTGAGACGGGACGTTCTGAGAAAATACCTCTAACGTAAAGACAACAGACATTGTTTTATTCCTAGATGGCCTTATGTATCTGTCCAGTTCAACAAAAATGAAATCCAGTAGCTAACATGTGCTGATGCTTTTATTGTCAAGTCACCATTGTCTCAATGTTATATTGAATGATCATTGATGTATTCATGTATAGTTAAGTAACAGAGGGTCTTTCCTTAATAGGGAAAATATATTACCATCTTAGGTACCAGCACAAGGTACCAGAGTGTATTCCTCGTGACAACAGTACCTTTGGATTTACATATTTATTTTCTAGTTCATCATATATTTTTAAGCAGAATTGTAAATTGTCAAAATGATTGATATTATTTCAGTAAAATTTGAGTTTCATTTATTTTCTTTTTTATTTGAAATTGCCAAATGATGTTATACATGTGCATATATCTGTTTAATTGTTGGTTGTCACAACCTCTCCAAATAAATTGAAATATTTAATTGATTTAATTGACACAGCACAGTTCAACAAATGTGTTGAAGTATTATACTAGTATGTAAAAAGGCATATATTTTAGGTTGAATTTTGTCATAAAGCTAGACACTGGGACCAGTATTTTTTTTTTTTAATTCCAATGTTTTCAGTGGAAGGGACCCATTTCATTATTTTCTGAACAGATACACAATGTATCAACTTTTTTTGTGATTTTGTTTTTCTATGTAAATGGCATATACATATTTGATTGAATTTATTTTACAAATTTATTTACTGGTATAATTTATAGATAGACTGTTTTCAGTAAAAACACTTTGTTGTGGAAATACAAGAAATTCTGTTGTATTTTATATAGAACCACACAATATACTATATTGAAAACTATTTGCCATTAAAATATATGTAAATCTGTTCATACCTTTCTAGCACAAATTGATTAAATACCTTTCATAACTTTCAGACATCAAATTATGATAATAAAAAACTGAAATCAAACCATATCTAAAACATTAATTATCATTGCCATTTAGAATGAAATTTTTGTAAAATGCATAATTACCAGAACATTAATTTTAAGTTAATTGTTTGCATGAATCATAAAAGATTTTTTTCAAATTAATTTGATCGCAATTATTTACTAATGAATCAGCTAGATAGTATATTTTTCTTATTTCTTTTAAGACAAAGAAAGTAGAATCGTAGGTGCTTTATAATGTTAGTTTTCTTGTATTATCAATCATGTTTTACAGAGTTGTGACATAGTTTTTGTGTAATTATTATTATTTCCATGTCTGATTATCTCTGTGAGAGAGAAAAGGAAATCCATTTTACTATCTGTTTTTGTCGAGCCTGCGACTTTTGTCGCAGAAAGCTCGACATAGGGATAGTGATCCGGCTACGGCGGCGGCGGCGTTAGCTAACTTCTTAAAAGCTTTATATTTTAGAAGGTGGAAGGTCTGGATGCTTCATACTTTGTATATGGATGCCTCATGTTACGAAGTTTCTGTCAGTCACATGTCCAATGTCCTTGACCTCATTTTCATGGTTCAGTGACTACTTGAAAAAAAAGTTAAGATTTTTTGTAATGTTAGATTCTCTCTTATTATAAGTAATAGGATAACTATATTTGGTATGTGCGTACCTTGCAAGGTCCTCATGCCCGTCAGACAGTTTTCACTTGACCTCGACCTCATTTCATGGATCAGTGAACAAGGTTAAGTTTTGGTGGTCAAGTCCATATCTCAGATACTATAAGCAATAGGTCTAGTATATTCGGTGTATGGAAGGACTGTAAGGTGTACATGTCCAACTGGCAGGTGTCATCCGACCTTGACCTCATTTTCATGGTTCAGTGGTTATAGTTAAGTTTTTGTGTTTTGGTCTGTTTTTCTTATACTGTATGCCATAGGTCTACTATATTTGGTGTATGGAATGATTGTAAGGTGTACATGTCTAGCGGGCAGGTGTCATCTGACCTTGACCTCATTTTCATGGTTCAGTGGTCAAAGTTAAGTTTTTGAGTTTTGGTCTTTTTTTCTAGTACTATATGCAATAGTTCAACTATATTTGGTATGTGCGTACCTTGCAAGGTCCTCATGCCCGTCAGACAGTTTTCACTTGACCTCGACCTCATTTCATGGATCAGTGAACAAGGTTAAGTTTTGGTGGTCAAGTCCATATCTCAGATACTATAAGCAATAGGTCTAGTATATTCGGTGTATGGAAGGACTGTAAAGTGTACATGTCCAACTGGCAGGTGTCATCTGACCTTGACCTCATTTTCATGGTTCAGTGGTTATAGTTAAGTTTTTGTGTTTTGGTTTGTTTTTCTTATACTGTATGCCATAGGTCTACTATATTTGGTGTATGGAATGATTGTAAGGTGTACATGTCTAGCGGGCAGGTGTCATCTGACCTTGACCTCATTTTCATGGTTCAGTGGTAAAAGTTAAGTTTTTTGAGTTTTGGTCCTTTTTTCTAATACTATATGCAATAGTTCAACTATATTTGGTGTATGGAAATATTTTATGATCTATTTGGCAGTCACACAGGTTTTATTTGACCTTGACCTCATTTTCAAGGTTCATTGCTCAGTGTTAAGTTTTTGTGTTTTGGTCTGTTTTTCTTAAACTATAAGCAATAGGTCAATTATATTTGTTGTATGGAAGAATTGGTAGCTGTACATGCCTGCCTAGCATGGTTCATCTGACCTTGACCTCATTTTCATGGTTCATTGGTCAATGTTTAGTTTACTTGGTTAATGTTAAGTTTATGTGACAGTTGTAATAAAGCTTTATATTTAGGACTATCAACATAATATCAATGATTAGTAAAGAAGGCGAGACATTTCAGCGTGTGCACTCTTGTTTAATATTTTGTTAAAATTAGATGCTTATCTCATATAGTTATGTATTCAATATATGGTGCTGTTGAAGCTTATAGTTGTGTCAGAAAAGTGAGGAAATTACGTTTTCTTCTTCTTTTTTTTTTCGGGGGGGGGGGTGGTTTGGGGACTGCGGAAATCTGATAAATGGCTTAAAGTAAAATGTCTGTATTTCAGCTTGTGACTGAATATCCTGAATGGTTTCTTCATTCACTATCTAGTTATGACACATGAATTCAATTACATACTTAAGGAAAACATAGATACTTTAAAATGGGCTTGTTGTTGACACCACTAAAATGTCAGTATACTTTTGTAAGATTTTCTTTGAAAAGCCCCCCACAAAAAATGCATGTTTGTAAATAGGAGCTTGTTTTCAAATTTAGGAAATATTTTTGTCCCAAACTTTTGTTTCATAATTTAAATTATTTACAAAGTTCTAACTTTACATTGCTTGCTTACATGCATAGTTGACCAGTTTGTTTTTGTATTTCTACAGGTCTTTTAGTCATTATTTTGTTGGATATTTTTATTTAACTTGTTAAAACACCTATAGGTTGTGAGTTTAAAATGTTTTCCTTTTATATAGTTTATTGTTTTTTGTTTATTTACAATTTTGGGGTAATGGTTGTGTGTAATATTTTTTTTTTTTTTTTTTCTCATTTAATAAAAAGCAATCAAATTTGTAATTTACATGATAAAAGAACTTTATACTTTTGTTTTTATAAACACTTGATGTTGTACTAATGAGTTAAGGTTTTGTTTAGGTGTATAATTTTAATTATGTTAACGATATAGAAGTTGTTCTATTTATTGTCAATCTTTCTGTTATTGTCGTTGTTATGGCTATATATTATCAGTTTCGTGAATGCTCAAAACTTTTTTTGAAGATCTGACAATCTGTAAAGATTTAAAACTAACCTTTATATATTTTGTTATAAATAGTTTCATTGAAGATAATGATCTACAATAATTTTGTTTAATTCACCGTTTCAGAATCTAATGCATACTGGGTAATACTTTCAAAAGAATACACTTAAATGTTTTGATTGGCTAACAACACCCAAAACAATGGAAATTTAACCAATGGGATGACATTATTTTCATTTTTATGATAAGAACAATGAAATGAATAGTCCTTTGATTCTGAAATGGCAAATTTTAAAATTTTAAAATCAGTTAAAATTGTTTTTCTTTTTTTTCTGTTTTTTTTTTTTTTAAATGTATACCCGAGTTTGGTGTTGTGTAAGATATTAATAATGAGAATTTTTCAATGATATAATGTATGATTATCTGTCATCGTGTTTATGATAGCAGTGCAAAGAACATGGTAAAGGAGTCTTGAGTGTACAAAAAAGATTCAATGATCAGAGTTGGACATTGGATTTGAAAAAAATAGCAAAATATGGAGAAATTCAAGTGCCATATTTTTGGGTACCTTTGCATTTGTACCTAATGTTGTTATATTAAAAACTCATCATTTTGTCCATGTTTTAATTTACTAATTCAAGTTCTAATCCTACTTTTTATACGACCGCAAAAAAAATTTTGTGGTCGTATATTGGTATGACGTTGGCGTTGTCGTCCGAAGAAACATTAGTTTTCGCACTCTTAACTTTAGTTTAAGTGAATGGATCTCAATGAAATTTTACCATAAGGTTCAATACCACAAAAGGAAGGTGGGGATTGATTTTGGGGGTTATGGTACCCACAGTTAAGGAATTAGGGCCCAAAAACAAGCATTTTTGTAACTTCCAGACATACTGTATAGTGGGTTATTTTCGCGGGTGTAAAATTTCGCGATTTAAGGGCTACAAAGTATACGAAAAATTTTAGCGGTTTTTATTTTGGCGGATTCTTTAATCCCGATTAAATATTTTTGCGGATACTGAAATGGTTGCAGTTAAAAAGTTGTCTATTGTTATGGTTAAATGATTGTTTTACCTGCATGACGTCTCATTTATTGAAAATATTTTGATACAGTTAATCAATAGAATACCGGTACATAGTTATTTGTCACAGGTGTACAAACTTCTTGTAAATGTGAGATTGATTAGTTACGAAATTGACCGGCCCTTTGATGTACTGATTAGATTATAAAATTTTCATGAGTGATGACTTGCAACTCTTATATAATTTGACACTAATTAATAAGGATAAAATACCTGACAGCGTACCTTACACTTTTATATTATCATTTATTTTATTATGTAACCAATAAACTAATTAACACCTGACAACCAGTGAACAATGGCCTTTGCAATTTATGTTGTTGAAAATAACATCAACCGTTATCGATCCGTCGAAAGGGAAAACATAGATAGTTTACAAAACGTTTTAGCTATTAGAAAGTATCGAACGTATGCATAAATTTTCGCGGAATTTATTTTCGCGATTACCCTTGACCTGCCAAAATAAGCGAAAATAACCCGCTATACGGTAACTTGTGTGTTAGTGTATGGATCTCTCTGACATTGTACCACAAGGTTCCATATCACAAAGGGAATGCTGGGATTGATTTTGGGGGTAATTGCCTCCAAATTTTAGGAATTAGGGGCCAAAAAGGGGCAAAAAACAAGCATTTTTCTTATTTCATGACAATAACTTGTGTGTAAGTGTATGGATCTCTCTGACATTGTATCACAAGGTTCCATATCACAAAGGGAAGGCTGGGATTGATTTTGGGGGTAATTGCCTCCAACTTTTAGGAATTAGGGGCAAAAATCAAGTATTTTTCTAGTTTCCAGACAATAACTTGTGTGTAAGTGTATGGATCTTTTTGAAATTGTACTGCAAGGTTCCATATCACAAAGGGAAAGCTGGAATTGAGTTTGGGGGTAATTGCCCAAAAAGTTTAGGAATAAGAGACCAAAAAGGGGCCAAAAATAAGCATTTTTCTAGTTTCCAGTCAATAACTTATGTTCAAATGTATGGATCTCTCTGAAATTGTACTGCAAGGTACCATACCACAAAGGGAAGGCTGGAATTGATTTTGGGGGTAATTGCCTCAAAATTTTAGTAATTAGGGGCCATAAAAGGGCAAAAAAACAAGCATTTTTCTAGTTTCAGGACAATAACTTGTGTGTAAGTGTATGGATCTTTAGGAAATTGTACTGCAAGGTTCCATATCACAAAGGGAAAGCTGGGTTTTAGTATGGGGGTAATTGCCCTAAACGTTTAGGAATTTGGGGCCAAAAAAGGGCCAAAAAAACAAGCATTTTTCTAGTTTCCAGACAATAACTTGTGTTCAAGTGTATGGATCTCTCTGAAATTGTACTGCAAGGTACTATACCACAAAGGGAAAGCTGGGATTGAGTTTGGGGGTGATGAATCATAAGGGGGTTCAAAAAATTGGGGGTGGATTTTTTTTTCCTTTTTTTTCTTTAAAATTTTCCATTTTAAATTGGTTATTTCTGATTTATATATAAAAGCAAATAATAATGATATGGTTTGAATAGGTTAATTAAAAATTTTCAAGTTCTTGCACCACTTTCATTCTGTGTGAGAAACCTATGCTGTGTCAAATATTTAATTACAATCCAAATTCAGTGCTGTATCAAGCTTGAATGTTGTGTCCATACTTGCCCCAACTGTTCAGGGTTCGACCTCTGCGGTCTTATCAAGCTGCGCCCCAGCGGAGCATTTTATTAAGTTATAGATCAACATATTTTTTTGTTTTTGCTTTATCTATAAGTTGTGCCAGTTCTTTATATTTTACAGATAACAATTGTTGCAGAAAAATACATAACATTTATATCAATTTACTTTTACACTTTATCTGTACACATGTTTAGAAGAGAAGGATTGTAATAATAATCATAGAATAACCAGTTGTGGTCTTGGAACATACAATTTGATTGTAAAAGGCTAAGAATAAGGTAAAAATGCAAGGTTTGTTAAAGCATTTCTATCCCATTTTGTACCAAGTTCAAATAAAATTTATATCTGAGAAATGTATGATTATCCCTTTATCCTGCAATGCTAAACTCTTCAAAAATTAACTACCGGTATGTTTAAAATTACTTAAATGTGTCGATTTCAAATTCAGAATAAAATTCTACAGAAACATAATTAACTGCATAAATAAGGCCTTATATGGGCAGTGACTATATATGACAAACTTGAGAGGCTACAGAGAAAGTTTTTACATTGAATATCAATACATATTAATTTCTAAAACAGGTCTTATTGCTCAAATACAAACTTATAAGGTTTCAAATAAACCAACTTTGAAGAAATCATAGATTGCAGCACAGTTAGATTGGGGAAATGTAAAATTGGCACAATTGTATACTGTTCTTAAATTTTGGTACAAACTTTATAGAATTGCAGAAAAGAGAAATGAAAGCAGTTATTGCAAGAAGGGATATATTTTTTTATTTTAAATGATGAAAGCAAAATGGAAAAATGGAAATAAACATCAATTAAAAAAATATCAATACTCACTCCAGACAATTGTAACATAGTGGTAAGGTTTTGCGATGGGTAAATACTTTTTTCACATATATTTGTAAACAAGATGCTCAATGAATCTGAAAGGGCATATGAAGACTTCTGAGTCATTGCAATATATTTCTGTCTAGTTTATTATATTTTATAATTTCTGTATAAGAATCTGTCATATTATAACATGTTAAATAAGGAATTTTTTCCAATGATAATCATACTAAATGATCACAAACTGATCTAGAATGGTTCACAAAGTTTAAGTAGATTTTCATGGTAGAAATGTGAAAGAAGATTGTTTGATAATTATATTGATCAGTTTGAAGGCATCTGAACACTTGATTCAGAAGTCTTCTGAATTTGACTGTTATTCAGATCTTTAAGTGACCACATGGCTATTTTTGGTACTGATGAATAAATGGATCATCGTTTATCATTGTGTTATATTTAAAGCTACATTGGACCAATTCAGTAATTATCAAGTTGTGTTTTACATATTCTTAATGAAGCAAGGTACATGGATGTTTGGACTCCAGGAGTAATTTGTTTTCTTCTGTTTGGTTTGTTTTGTTTGTTGGGGTTTTATGTTGTTTTATTTTTTCTAAGGTGGGAGGGATCAATGATCTAAATGTTTCAAATGGGGTTGTCTGCAATCTTGTTTTCAAACAGGAAACAATATTTTTCACCTTAAATGATTTTTTATAACAAAAATTGCATCTGCATTAGATTTTTCTTCATAAGAAGAGCAGAAGGAACAGTATTTTAGAGGGGTTTAGGGTTTCCAGACAAAATTCAAGTATTTTGAATTGAAGGTAACTTTAAGAAAATTACTTTTATATTACTAAGAATTCATACTTTTGCCATTAATTATAAACATACACACATATTCATACAAACAAATGGATTTTAGCCAAAATTAAATTGGAATCACTTCAGACCCTATCCTCTTTTTTTGGTTTTATGATAACATTTTGATAATTAGATCTAAAAAAAAATTCAAAAGCAAAATTTGCCATTTTTGAATGTGCATCATCATCATTTACAATACATTTAATAATGTAGCTGCCAACAATGAAGGGATCTGAAAATATTTTTGTATTCCTGTCATAGTAATCATATTTCTTGGACGCAAATATCACAGGTATAATTCTGACTTGGTCCATTTGTATTTTTGCAAAATATTTACACATATAATTTACAAGGGTATTGTATTAATCACTGTAAGCTTTCTCATCACCCATACTCAGTTAATCAGTGCAATATAAGTAGAATCTCTATTACACATGTATTACATATGTAGGTTGTCTATTACACATGTAGGTTGTCTTAGCATTCCACCTTTACATTCCTTTTTTGTTACTTTTGGTCATTGTTTACTAATTTATAAGGCTAATACATATAATATGTCAATAAAAAGTTTCTTTTATTATTAATGTTGTTACCTTATTGTTCTCTTGTCAATGTTATGGCTACAGAGACTGTACACACTTTCCGGTCTCTGTACCTTTAAAAATCATTTAGTACGTTGGTTGCAATGAAATAAATCCAATGATTTCCTTCCTCTGATGTCATACATCAATGGATGTTGTCAAGACATAATCAATGACGTAGCATCAAAAAAAATTGAGAATGCATACAAAAATAGTTCCTTGCATTTTCTACTTTATTTCCCAGAAAGTCAATGTAATAAAAAAGAATAACTAACCCAAGAATTCAAATATCTTAAAATATTCAACTTGTGACCAAACAATACTGATAATAAACTCTTGCGCTACACTCAGTCCTAAATTTATGTGTTGTTCGGCCAATTATTGAATATTTTTGTATATTTGAATTCTTGGATTAGTTACTGTGAATTCAGAAATTATTGCGTGCATTTATTATTGTGATTTTTGAAGAAAGGTGAAAAATGCAAGTTTAATTATTGTGATTTCAGGAAAATCTGCATACAGATATATGTATCAGCTATGAGAATGCCAGTTTTTAGCTCACCTTTCCAAAGGAAATGTGAGCTTTTGCCATCACTTGGCATCAGTCATCGTCGTCCGTGATGGTCCGTCCGGTGTAAACCATTTCAAACATCTTCTCCTCTGAAACTACTGAACCAATTCCAACCAAACTTAAGCTGAATGATCCTTAGGGTATCTAGAATAAAGTTTGTGTTTTATTTTCAAAAAACATGGTCCGAGTACACAGTTATTGTCCTTTGATTTTCGTTGTTCACGAATATAGTCCCTAGTGTGAACAGTGTACGTGTTACTTGCCAATTTTTTTTATACCTCTTCCAAATGTATTTCTTCATGTTTTATGCCTCAAATAGCAAGTAGGGGGATGAAATTACACTGTAAAAAAATTTGGGTCATGAATTTTAAAGTAAAGTAGTGATTTGGTCCAGCTGAAAAAGGTTAAAAGTTAGCACTTCGGAAGCTGTCAAAAGATTTCAAGACCCCTTTCAAGTACTACACACTGTAAAAATATTATTGAGAAAGCGCAGGTGGGATTTTTTTTATTTTCATTTATTGTCTAAAAGAAATGCACTACGAAATAACTGTGTACTCGGACCACATGGCCGCCATGGCTAAAAATAGAATATAGGGGTAAAATGCAGTTTTTATACCACCGCTAAAATTTGTATATTGGTTTGACGTTGGCGTCGTCGTCGTCTGAAGACACATTGGTTTTCGCACTATAACTTTAGTTTAAGTGAATGGATCTCTATGAAATTTTACCATAAGGTTAAATACCACAAAAGGAAGGTTGGGATTGATTTTGGGGGTTATGGTACCAACAGTTAAGGAATTAGGGGCCGAAACGGGGCCAAAAATAAGCATTTTCTAGTTTCCAGACAATAACTTGTGGAACGGTGTATGGATCTCTCTGAAATTATACCACAAGTTTCAATACCACAAAGGGATGGTTAGGATTTGCTTTGGGGGGTTATGGCTCAAACGTTTAGGAATTAGGGGCAAAAAAGGGGGAAAAACAAGGTTGTCCTGGTTAATGGACAATTACTTTAGTACAAAACATAATTTAAAACAGTGTAAGGGAGATAAATCAATTACATCATTTGAATTACCTCCCTTACACTACTTTTAAATTATGTATAAAGTAATGGTTAATGAACAATTAAGACAATTTAAAAGCAGTGTAAGGGAGGTAATCCAAATACAACGTTTTGATTACTTCCCTTACACTGCTTTTAAATTTTGTTTAAAGAAATGCATATTTATAAAGGAACACCAGTAAAAATATCTGCAAATGTTGCATCTTTTTTTTTTTACAAAAAAATCCATATGAAAGATTTGACACCATATTTTAAATTCTATAAAATGTAATTATGGTTGCAAACTCCATTGGAAATTTGAATTGAGATTATGACCATATCTTGAGGGAAAGAATTTTTTGGGGGAATAAGGGGGGGGGGGTAAAAAAAAATTGAGGGTGGGGGTCAATTTTTTCTCATTTCAGATTTCAGAAATTAAAACGAATTATTCTTCAAATATTTTTTTTTTTTCAAATTTCAAGAAGTAATCTTTAATTGCACAGTATGGCGCATTAGATTTGTAAAATCTTTGACCACATTTATTTCTTTGTTATGCCGAAGGTAACCGTGTATTTAGATTTTTAATTTTGGGTCCAGTTTTCAAATTGGTCTATATTAAGGTCCAAAGGGTCCAAAATTAAACTTGGTTTGATTTTAACAAAAATTGAATATATGGGGTTCTTTGATATGCTGAATCTAAACATATATTTAAATTTTTGATTTTGGGCCCAGTTTTCAAGTTGGTCCAAATTGGGGTCCAAAATTAAACTTGTTTGATTTCAACAAAAATTGAATATATGGGGTTCCTTGATATGCTGAATGTAACCATGTATTTAGATTTTTAAAGGTAGTGCTTTAATGCCTTTCTGGTTGCCGGATTAATCTTTCCTTCCGCGATATCCAACTTATCTACGTGGGGGGTCATTAGGCTCCAAGTAGATCCGGAAATGTTGAATTTTCTCCTCTTCTTATTGTGATATAATATTTTTTGTTTCATTTCATTTACATTTGGAAACAGAGAAACGATCATTGTGTTTTGTTAGTTATAAAAACTTTTGATATATTTGTTTGTATTTTGCATTATAAGCAGTCAACCGATTGACAAACTAGAATTATTTGAATTCCGTGTGGAAAGAGCTCGGGTTAATTTCGAGTGTTATCTGCAATCTAGATGTTTATAAGTTATTTCAGTCGTTTATATAATAATTAAAGGTCGACTGAACATGAATTATATTAAACAATTTAAAGCGCATTTCTGTTTATGCACGTGAACCCGTCTAACGTTATTGTTATTTCGCAGTTATATAAAGTAGCAAATTATCGTTCCTGAATAGGTGGCGCCGTGGTAGCGGATCCTGTTCCTCAACTTCCGGTTTCTGCACTCTGCAACTATTTCAAATTACATTTTTAATTAACGATGCCAAGTACTTGTTGTTGTGTACCTGGATGTCATTTAAGAGGAGGACATGCATTTCCAAATGACTTCAAAAGAAGGAAAAGTTGGATCAACGCCATGGCCCATACGCAGATTGGACGAGAACACGATGAACCATCATGAATGTAGTACACAAGAAATGTGGGACTATTTTCAAGGCAAACTTGAAAATACTATAAATGCCAACATACCGCAAAAAACAGCTAGAACAAAAGACGGTAACCCTAGGATCACGGCAGACATCAAACGCCTAATACGGAAAAGAGACAAACATTACAAGAAAAAGAAAAAATCAGCTGATGCTAAGCATAACACCAAATATAAAGAACTGAAAAGACTGGTACAGAGAGAAATAAGACGAGCATATTGGAAATATATTGAGGACATAATAACACCTGATCCCAAAGTAGACAAGCCAAACTGCATGAAACGTTTCTGGACATTCATCAAGCACAAAAGATCAGACGGAAATCAAATACCACCATTAAGGAACAATGGACTACTCCATCCTGACTCAGTTGAAAAGGCTAACATACTAAATAAGCAGTTCCAATCAGCTTTTTCTGAAAAAACCAACTTCACAGAAATAGAATTCAAAAACCGTTGTGACATGACCAACAACAACTACCCTACACTTCAAGACCAGCGGACGAATTCACTAAAGATACGATACAACATGTTGTATCGTAATTATTTATCGTAAATATACGACATGCATAAGACATGTCGTAATTTGTATTCTCCAACGTTGTCGTAGTACTGTTGTAAGTTTCTCGCAGTTGCTAATGTCGTAAATCTACAGAACAATCATTTTACGTAACAGAGGAGGATTTTGTTCAGCATGTGCCCGATTTGAAATCCATTTATAATTTAGTACAATGCTCATCACACTTTGTCTTATAAATATAATAAATAAGAACCATTTATGCCAAACTACTAAATTATTTCAAATATTTTTCTGTTTGTAACAATTTAATATATTACAAGTACATGTACCATTAATGCGATATTTGTCGCTGGCTTGAAAAACAGGAAATTTGTTATCAAATTACGTAAATCAAATAAGAATTAAAATTTAACAAGAGGAAAATTTGCATGCTTTCTCTACTTTAATTAATTTTGAGAACTGATAATGCCGTATATTGTAAATGTTCGAAGATTAAAGCTTTTCTGTCGATTTACCTCCACCTGGAACGCCCAAACCCCAAATTTATAAGTACAATCTAAAGCATTATAATTTTCGATAGTGTTGTCTATATCAAAATAAGAAGATGTAGTACGATTGGAAATGAGACAACTCTCCACCAGAGAACAAATGACCGGTAGAAGTTAACAACTATGAGTCATCGTGCGGTCATCAACAATGAGCAAAACCTATACCATATAAGCAAGCAAGCTATGAAAGGCCCCGAAAAGACAAATGTAAAGTGACAATTTAACCTAGAAAACGAACGACCTGGTTTATGTTAAAAACAATAAATTAGATAGATAGATACATTTATTCTCATAAAACCATGCAAGTACGAAGACTAGAGAAGTCAAAATACAAAATATTAGATGTGATAACGTAAAAACAATAAATAAAGTAAATAAAAATAGATAAAAATATATAAATTGAATAGGAAATATAAGAATATATGCACAAGTAAAGTAAATAAAACGAAAAGCAAATATAATATTTGGGTTTTGACACATGAATTATCATTAATAAGAAGTTAAATGTTTACAAAACAGGAACCTGTTGTTTAGTAGTTGTCGTTTGTTGATGTGGTTCATGAGTGTTTTTTATATAGATTAGACCGTTGGTTTTCCCGTTTGAATGGTTTTACACTAGTAATTTGTTGGGGCCCTTTATAGCTTACTGTTCGGTGTGAGCCAAGGCTCTTTGTTGAATGACCGGTAGAAAAAGGAGCTAAAGATACCAGAGGGACACTTAAACTCATAAATCGAA